AAAAAAAATCGGTGCTCCTCCCTTAATAAATTTTTTTTAAAAATCCAATAAAAAAAATTGTTATCGCCCTTCTTATCGCCTACAACCCATAAAATATTCAACGTTAGGCTAAACTGTTATAGTTAGGCCCATGCTTACACATATAAACCTTACACGTTTACCTTTCAAAGTCGTTAACAGACAAGGTTGAAACATTTAAAATTAAGTTGGGAAATAACTAGATTTGCAGATTGGATAGCTTTATGAATCGCTGTAGAGTTGTTGTTTTTATTTTATAAATGTTGTCCAGGAGCTGAGGTGGGCTGGTCCGATGGTCCACCGTTGAAAATCTCAGCGGGCCCACAGGACCGGCGATTTAATAGTAATTGTATACAGTTAAATGTAGATGAATGTATGTTTCGAATGTGTATCTTTAAAATATAAAATATAGGATGGGTGTGCGCATGCGCTAAGGAAAGTAAGCAGAGAGAGGCAGATGGAACGCGAGGAGATGACGAAACTGAAAGTCGTGGTTCTAGTAGTGTAGCTGCTATATTATCTGATATCAATAAAAGACTGTAAAATCACCAATAATGTGGTTTGTATTTGCCTTTAGTTCGTGCCATGAACCCAGTAATACAAAAGGGCTGTGACAGTAATAAAGGTGAATTTTATTTTAGTGTTGGTGTTTTACCATTCCTTAATGCCAAGGCGTAAACATAAGAGTTAAATTGAGAAACAAATGCTCAATGGAAACTTCAATCTGTGGTTGGGGTACCATTTCAAACTTACCGGGCCTCTAGGATACAGCTAGTTCAGGCATGGAGATAAAACTTGTATTACATTACAATTACTAATTTAGACCTGTATTTACCTTTCTTTATTTTGTTTAGGATTTAGCGTTTTTGTACAATTTTTCGCTGCTCTCCTGGCATTTGTCTATTCTATACTACTTAATTTGTTATGCTGTAGTATACATGAGTGAGTTTGTATGCCCTATAGTGTTTCTTTCAGACATTTTTCTCCGGGATAGGGGGGTTCGCTTGAAATTTGCAAGGACTTAAATTATTATTTGGGGTGTATAATTTGATACTGATTGCAGTAAATATTTTGTATATACATTATGTTTCATTTATGTGAGGGAGGGGGGGGGGGGAGCGGTAGACATGCTCCCCCCCCCCTAAAAAATGCCTGAAAGAAAGTCTGATACCTTATATGCCGACTCAACGTTTTTCCTACACTGCCAAGTCTTTTTATCTACATGTCTTTACCCTATATTAAGTAAGGGTACTGAGTTCGGCGGTGGTCGGCTCAACAAAGCTCACGGTTAGTACACTGATAAGTCGCGAGTTCGAACCCCCCCCCTCCCCCTCCCCTCGGGCAGATTAGGCCCGATATCGAGGGACATACCCCTTCTAGGAGAGACCACACTAAAATCAGACGCATGCTGCCTTGTAGTTTGTTTTTGGATGGGCAAACGCTGTGGTAGCAAATCGAAAGCAAAAGCAGCCTGAAATCAGATTCAACTAGTGTTATACTTTCATATTCATCAATCGAATAACTTCAAAGTATACCTGATGACAATTTTAAACCTAATTTCTTTATTTTCTTTTTTTTTTTTTTTGTTTTTTTTTTTTTTGTAATATCAATTATCTTTTTCTTGATTTATTGTTAGTCATTTACACTGATTCTCTGATTCTAAATTTAGAGCAGTTCATGTAACATTCGGCGCTAACATCAAGAAACCGCTATAACTGTCTAAATCAGAAAACTGATTCACCACTACATCCTTTCACTAGCCGTACAGTTAAAATACAGTTAAGAAATGTAATTCATGTAATGGTGAATCATTATCTATTTTAAGTAACTGGTTGTCAATGTGACTGTCCGTGCAAGGTGAAAGGATGTTCGAGTCATTATGACACCAATACGTCATTCAAGTTTGTTTTTGTACTTCCGGGTTACTTCCTGCCCAATCAGCTGACTAGTTACATTTACATCAAGACATTTTATTTCGTATTGTAGTTAGTATACAGTCTATTTTACCCTGGCCACCCATTGTATAGTTGAGAATGCAATAACTAGATCAGAGTTGAATTCCACATACAGTGGGATATACGTGTATGCATACATACACACAAATATATATATATATATATATATATATATATATATATATATATATATATATATATATATATATATATATATATATATATATATATATATATATATATATATGAAAAACTCAACTGGAATATTAGTGATTTGCTTGTGTTTTGCACGTGCTTGATTAAAAATGGTATTATCTATATATATATATTTCTCTTCTGGGAGACGCTAGAAAACAAGCTGTAAACGCGCTCCCTACCATCCCCACCCATACATGGTCTTAGTGAGCTGTGGTTCACGATATATTTACCTTCGTGGAGTCGGGTTTAGTGACGGCTATTAGTGGCAGATAATTTAGTTTGAAACGATTTTAAACGTTGGGGGGGGGGGAGGAAGGGGGGGGGTTATGGTCCTTAACGAGCTACTTATAGTGTTTTAAAGAAATATTTTCAGTGTCAGCATTGGTACTGTCGAATTCACAAATCATGAATTACTGAAAAGTAGAAAAAACAACAACTAAATAGCGGCGTATGTTATGCCGCGGGCCGGCTCGTATATATATTTATAAATTCTCTTCATGGAGACCATAGAAAACACCAAGATTTAAGCGCGCCTAGCAGCACCTCTCGTCCTCTCTAGGCTTATCCATCCACCCCCACCCCCACATGGTCTGGTGAGCTGTGGTTCACGCTAAATGTTTACAATCATAGAGCCGGGTTAAGTGACGGCTATTAGGGGCAGATAATATGTTTGAAACGATTTTAAACGTAGGGTAGGTAACTAAGTTTAGGTTGCTTTCACGGGGGGGGGGGGGGAATTGGAGGAAAGGAGGGTGAGGGGGGTATTGTTCTTAACGTCATACAGATAGTGTTTTAAAGCAAATATTTTCAGTGGCAGCATTGGTACTGTCGAATTCACAAATTATGATTTACTGAAAAGTAGAAAATAAAACAACTAAATAGCGGCATATGATACGCCGTGGGTCGGCTCGTACATATATATTTATATATTTATGTATATATATATATATATATATATATATATATATATATATATATATATATATATATATATATATGCATGTGTGTGTGTGTTTGTGTGTCTGTCCTTCTGTCTCTGTGTCTCTGTGTGTGATTTGAGTTTAACAGGATTAAATTTTTTTACGCAGTTAAATTAAGCCTACAACATGTTATATACATGTGCCCTTGTGAGGCTAAAAATGGGGAAATCAGCATGAAAATCACTCTTTTTTTAATTACAATAAATATCCTTGTGATTCAAATAGATGTTAATGTAATACCTGGTCTATCGATATCAAATCAGGAATCTTGTAAGGAAATCCCCCATAGTATTGCAAGCTATTATTAGACTTTGGTGACCTACTCTTGTCAAAAACCAAGGGAAGCAACCGTTAAAAATGTCAGACGTTGTTAATCAAGTGAAATTTCCCTGTGCATTAGCCTACAAGCGAATTAAGGGGAGACGATCCTGTTAATCATCATTTGTGGTTCTAACATTACTATGTTCGGAAATACAAAGTAAACAAAAAAAGATAACCGGTTCAAATTAATTTAAATCAGGTCAACAGTTGTAACACAATGTTTTTTTTATATTAATCAACAAGTGGTATTCATAACTATTATATATTATTAAAAGACAAAAAAATTGAAAACCATATCCCCTTTAAATTTAAAGATTTATTAAAATATTCAAGGATCATAGAATTTGATTGCTCGTGAATTTGAAAATGTTTTTAAAAATTATAAATAATAATTTATTTTTATTTTTTTAAATATATTTTTAATTTTTTTAATTTTATATTTAGACGTTTTGTATTAGATCTATGTATAAGTAAACCATCTTAAATGAATGAAAGTAGGCTACAAGTAAGAAAGAAATATTACTATTGTAAATCTGTATCAGTCCTCACAAGCCGATGATGAAAACTGTAATACTAAAGCGAACACACAACTGACGCTGTAAATTACATGTCTGAGGCCACACACACAAAAAAAAAAAAAAAAAAAAGAAATAAATATTAAAATGTATTTATTATATGGCAAAATAGCAATAAATTCAGATGTTTTTTTCACAAAATACACGGACATCGATTTAAAAGAAATATTTCAAGCAAAGCTAAGACATTAACCGGGAACTCTCACTTAACTGAGAAAAAAAGAAATGTACAGGAAATAAATAAATAAAGTATTAATTTTAATTTAGACAGTCTCAAGTCAAACATCACTCGATCAGCCCTCAAGTAAATTAACATTAGAACAGTCTTCTGTTTCCCAGGTTTTTAAAGTGCACAACCTGAATGGTAGAAAGAGATACACACCTCAACCCCCCCCCCCCCCCCCCACACACACACACACACTTCCCCCCCACTCAACCGGACTGGCGGATATTTCAAGGTAGCGTGCCCTCATTGCCAAGGGTCAATTTTATGTCATGGAAAGTTTTGGAATGATAGATCAGTATGTGTATTACAGAGACACTTCTAACACGGTCGTTTCTATTTCTGTCCATGGGTGGCTACAATGTGAACTTTTGACTCCGCAGCACAGTAAACTAAGCAGTCAAGAGAAACCTAGTTTGCACACCTTATTTTAGTCTAGTTCTTATGCCATTTTATTTTCTCGCTTTGATTATTATATATGCAATTGATGTTCATTGTTCATGTCTTTGATGCTGTGTAAAATCTATCAAATAAATTATGATTACTGATTTAAATGTTTAAAACAATTGAATTAATAAAATTAAAAAAAAAATTAAAAAAAAAAGACATTGGTCTAAAATAGACACCTTTAAAAACAAAAAAAAAAACAAAAAATAAAAAAATAAAAAAAATTAAAATTTACTTTATTATTCAGTCATTCCCATTTATAAATTTTAAAAATTATCTGGATAAGTTATAGTACTGTTCTTTTCCCCCAATTGCTTTTTCTAATACTGGGTGACTCTAGTGAACAGGTTTCATAAAAACTGGTTTATGAATACAATATATTTTCGCCAATTTCTACTCATTTTTCTGAGTTTCAGAAATTTTTAAAATAGTAACACTATTTGCCAAATTATTTCATGTCAAGCCTATCAATAATTATGTGAAATAATTACATAATTTGTATAACCTTACTTTAATAAATACAATGTTTAGTATCAAATAATGCCAGCAAATTTAAAGTGTTATTGTAGCTATATACTGCATGCTACTATTTCAGTGTGTTGTTTTATTTTTGATAAGGCATCCCTTTGGAATTCAGCATTTCATTCCCATTGTATAGAATGACAACAGCTATTAAGATTATTCAGATATATCTTCTCTTCTTTGGTGGCTATTTTTCTAAAAAAATAAGATGAAAACTAAGTTAATATCTCTTTATTTTTATGTGTATATACAAGCAAAAAAATTTTTATTCTTAAAAAATATTTATGTTAGTTAATACTTTACTGGTTTTTTTTAAACATTTGTATTTCACACCTGCATATTTTCATTAACCACACAAAGATAAAGATATTTATTTTAATACAATAAAAATGCTAGTTTGTGTGTGAACTGTGCTTATAAGGTTGATCTTTTTTTTAAAAAAATGCCTTGTCGTTGTATATAACATCTGCTTTTGAATAATGCATTATTTTGATCATTTACTTAAAAACAATTTTGTTATTTAAAAATAATAATAATAAATAAATAAACAAATAAATAAATAAGTATTAGGCCTACCTAAAAAAATAAACAAATAAATAAATAAAATAAACAAATAAATAAATAAATAAATATTAGGCCTAAAACAATTTTTTTTAAAAATATTATGCCTACTATTATGCAGACTAGGTATTTTTCTTGTGACATTAATTGTTCTATGACCTCATGTAGGCATGGTTTAATTACTTGCACCAGACAGACATAAGAGTACCACTATAAAAAGTAAAACAATATTAAAAAAAGTTTATTCATCGACATTTTGCTATGTTTTTATTTTATTTTAAAAAAATGAATTGAAATCGCTTCCAACATAAGTATAGAAAAGTATAAGTATTAGATACAATTCTATAATAAATTGTATTTAAGAACTAAGGCAGCACTTTTTATTTACAAAATGCAATTTACTTAACGTAAAGCTGTACAAAAAGAAACGGCACACATACATTTATTTAAAAAAAAAAAGACGTTCAACATGGCTAACAGAAAAGTGGTATTCATTAAGGTAGGCCTACTTAATTTACAATGCATGTATTTACATGTGTAATGTGTGGACACTTAAAATCGGTGTTATGATGTATTTACAGCATCTGTTGTTTTTTCTTGTAAATGCATTTAAAACAAGCATTCATTATTACAATATTATATATAGCATGTTTGTTCGCATGAAGAAAAAAAAGTATTATTATTAAAAACGTATTATCCTGAAATTTAACAGGGGTAGGTAAAGAGACTTGAAGTCAAATATATTACAGCTCTCAGTAAATTATTTAGGGTAAGACAGGCAAGGCGGGGTGGGGAGGGTCAGATGGTGTGACGTCACTTTTTTGCATTCTAATAAGCAATGTTAAAAACGAGTTTTAGCCGTTATTACGCGTTTTAGAAAACGGTTTTAATAAATTGTAATAGGAATTGATCAAAATAATCTATGTTGACAGAGTTCTGACAAGATTTTGGAAGAATATATTTAAGAAAAATTAAACAGCAGTTTTGAGGGGGGTTGTAGGCTGATGTGTGACGTCATTTTAGGGGGGGGGGTCTGGCTTTTTGTGTGACGTGTGACGGAGGGGAGGGGGAGAGGTAAAAACCGTCCCAAAAAAAGCGTGACGTCATTTATGGATGACCCCTTACCGTTGATTTATTTAAAAAAGAGATTTTATTTAAAAAATAATGTGAGGATTATTTTTAATACATACATAGAGAATATTTTCAAAATTTTAAAATAAAAATATGACTACACAACTTATACTGAAGAATAACATAGTGATCTTTTTTTTAATCTTTTGTTAAGTAGAATGTATTTAAATGCAATAATAAAATGAAATACCTTCTTTAATGTAATCGAGAGTAATTTAAAAAGCATACCCCTTATTTAATGTAATTGCATGTAATTAAGGAGCATTTCTATTTTTAATCTAATCAAATATAAATTTAAAATCATACCCCTTACCTAATGTAATTGCATGTAATTTAAAAAGCATATCACTGCTTTGATGTAATGCGTGTAATTAAAAAGCATACCCCTAATCTTATGTAATTGCATGTAATTAAAAGGCATACCCCTAATCTTATGTAATTGAATGTACTTAAACAGCATACCCCTTATCTTATGTAATTGCATGTAATTGAAAAGCATACCCCTAATCGTGTGTAATTGCATGTAATTAAAAAGCATACCCTTATCTTATGTAATTGCATGTAATTGAAAAGCATACCCCTAATCGTGTGTAATTGCATGTAATTAAAAAGCATACCCCTTATCTTATGTAATTGCATGTAATTGAAAAGCATACCCCTAATCGTGTGTAATTGCATGTAATCAAAAAGCATACCCCTTATCTTATGTAATTGCATGTAATTAAAAAGCATACCCCTTTATCTTATATTATTACATGTAATTAAAAAGCATACTCTTTGTCTTATGTAATTGCATGTAATTAAAAAGCATACCCCTTTATTTTATATAAATACATGTAATTAAAAAGCATACTCCTTGTCTTATGTAATTACATGTAATTAAAAAGCATACCCCTAATCGTGTGTAATTGCATGTAATTAAAAAGCATACCCCTTCTCTATATACCCCGTCCTGTTCCTATCCCCGCACATCTTCCACATCACCAACCCTAGCAACAACCCCGCACACACCAACACCACAGCGGCGATAATCAGCCCAATCTGCCACTCCGCTACCCCATTACCTCCCTGGTATTTATCCCTCTCGCTGTAACCCATCACCAAACATACGGCGAAGCACTCCGTCAACATCATTCTCTCCCCTTTCACGACGGTGATATCGAAGAGCAGAGTTGTGTCCCATCTTGAGCCACCGAGTTCTGGAATACAAGGTAAGGAAATGCCTACAGTGCAGGGGCTGTCGGGACTGGTAAAGTTCGTGCATGCGATGTCGCTTTCTTCCTTGGGCAGGCAGGACTTGATGCCCTGGACGTTCTCGTTCAGGCCGCTCTCAACGTAGTCGATGGTGTTGTCTTTGGGGTTGACTCGGAACTTGATTGTGTAGCCTGCGGTGGCGTAGTCGAACACATAACTGATCCTGGAATAAATATGATAAAATAATGATATGTGTATGTTGGTCTATAGCTGTGTGTTGTTGATCCAATTTTTTTACAAACAGTGACGGGCTGAAAGAGTTACTTTTTGAGGCGTAAAATATGAATTGAAATCACTTTAGCTTTCAGCGTGACAATAAGGCACTTATTTATGTAGTCAATTTTTTTGTTAATTTTGATAAGAAAACTAATTCTTTGAATGCCTTCATTGATTAAAAATTCAGTTGATTATGCACGATAAGATTAAAATTTAAAGACACTATTATTAGCCATACCTACATATTATATAGATGACATCACCCATACACGCATAAGCATAAGACAAGTCATAAATTGTAAAACTCTGAATCAATATCTATTTCCGTTCGTGCCAAAATTACATGGGACAGATGAAGAATAGCGTGGTCAGCATTATGGCCAGTTAGTCCCCTAACAAGACCCAGGTACACATCAGAGTTCGGTGGACTCAGTGATGTCTTACAGACTTGAACTAGAGATCTGAGCTCGAGGCTTTCGGATAAGCTGTCTATCGCTCTACCGCACTGCCACGCCGTACCTCAAAAACTTTAAATGTCAATATCTATCTTGTGAATATACCTACACCAACACTTACTCGTGTGTAAACATACGCCAACATTTACAAGAGTATATACCGACAGCAACACTTACTTGTGTATATACCTACACCAACACTTATTAGTGTATTTACCAACACCAACACTTGATTATATACCCACACCAAACCTTACTTGTTTATATACCTACACCAACACTTACTAGAGTATAACCGAAAACAACACTTACTTATTGTAACCCTGTGGGTCCATCACCAGCTCCCTAGGCTCAGCACTAGGACTGTTAAACACCCAGTGCTGTAGGCCAATTGTAAGGCCAATGTTGAGAGCTAGTACCAGAATAACACATGCTGTTTTCTCCATTCTTTTCTGTTGTGGAAAAAAATATCTTTATTCACACATATAGAGAAAAATGCAATTGTTATGGTAATATAAAAAAATGTCAATTCGTCTTTTATGACAGCTAACGTACTCATAAACCTGGTCCTCGCACTAACCTCAACCTTAACTGACTGAAAAGTTATTTGGAGAGAAAAAAATCAACGCAAATCTTCGTTGAAACAAATAACTAAATCACTATCAAAACTATTACTCGCACTTTCAAATACCCATCGTTTGATGAAAGATAACCACAGCTGAGCTTCCGTCGAAAGAAACTCACAATCTAGGTCTACTTGCACTAACAATAGAAAATAGACTTTTCTTTAACAAGCCATCTTGTTTTCTAAAAATAGAATCCAAACAATTTATGACATTTGGTGTTTCACAGCGCGTGGCAGTTTAACACACCATCAATAAATATTTACGGCCATAAACCACCAAGAAGACGCTAAAAGAACTGTTTTCTTTCTAGTTGGTAGTTCAATGTATGCAGTCACATTTACTGAAATGTGCTGTTAAGAGTTATCTTTTAGAAATGTTGTAGGGAAGATAAGACTTTCGGGTGCCCGAGGGCTGTATACGATGCTGTATCATATACGTTGAATATACAGCTATAAACACCGGATCAAGGGTTAGGATAAAATATACGATAATATATACGTTTATGTGCAAGACACATTGGGCAGATGAAATAGAGTTCATCTATAACGTAAGTTACGTACCCTTCAGAGCTGAGTGGACTCATGGACGTTCTACTAAACGGCCACGCCGTCCCATATGATAGACATTTTGGGAAATAAATAGCATTTATTTCAATGTACAGGCAGAGGTGTAGGTATGGTAGGGCGGGTAGGGAGGCCCGCCCCGGGCGCCGAACTAAGATGGGGCGCCGAACGCAGTAAAAAAAATAATTAAAAGCTCATTTTGAGCTGCATTACTAAGTTATTAAAAAAAAGAATTTAAGGTAATAAACAAAACCATTGACTTTAATGGCTTATTTAACTGTTTTCAACATCAAGAGTTTGTCACCAACATAAAAACCACTAAACGACAGCGACTGGTAAAAACAAATATACTACAAAACTGAATGATATTACATTGCTTTATATAAGTAATTTTAGAAAGCTCAGAACTTAATTCTTTAACGTGAAATTTCCACACTCGATTCCATAAACACCCTAAACTGTAGCGTGTACATTATATAGGGCGTACCACAGTTACGCAAGGTGTGCGGGACTGTGTAGGGACCACAGTGACCCGGCTTCGTTAACACATCCCCCCTTCCCCTCCTCAGGTACCTCGCTGGCTGTAAATGTGTTCAATGGTCTGGTTTGTCAATACAACTAGAGTAGTTGTAAAGGAGGGCGGAGCTGGGTGTTTTAAGGTAACGACACAGCTAACATGGCAGTATCTAACTGTGGAGTAATTACGTTTGACAATTTTAACGTTCAATACTTGCAGCGTAATCGAAAGATTTCTCTACAGCACCTGCAGTCATAAGTTCATATTAATAATTTGCAAGCGGTTAGATTTTTAGAAATGGCAGTGTTTATGCCGGGGTTAGTTTTATGAATAAGATCGTGATTTGGGCCGGTGCAATATTATGGATTTGTCTAGTAAAAACATAACAGGAATTACTGTATTGAAAACGCGCGAAAAAAATAATCTTCCTATTATTAGCTCCATCAACCAAACTAATTACAACGCTCCCATTTTCCCCATCTTTAAACTTTTATGTTCTACTTTTAGAAAGTATGGTTCTGTTTTATAAGTTTAAATTATTTCGTATTTGCTTTTTTTTGTGACCTACAAAATGAAATGTCAACATTGTCTCCAGCTTAACATGGGAGATCACTCTAACTTTAGGTAATGTTAGCAAGTTAGCAAAGATGTTGTAGCGTTACAAAAATGACGCAATAAGAAGTAAAATATTTAATGAAACTTTAATAGTTAGCTGTTTGAGTATATACTATAGATGCGTATGCATTTTTTATTAATGTGTTATTTCTTGGTTCAAAAATGCCAGAATATGTACTATTAAATTAATATTATTATTATTATGGTAAAATAGTTGAATTTTTAATCCCACAAAAATTTCATTTTTATCCCACAGAAAGGCTTAAATTGTTTTGATGTTATTTTCTCTTAATTAAACTAATGTTGCATTGCGTTAATTAATTATGTATTTATTTTTATTACCGTTGGCCCAATAAGTTTGAAAATCCTGGATTTAGCACAGATAACAACAATAAATTATCCCCTAGTAAAGTGTTCACAAAAAAGCTCTTTCTAATCCACTCAATGAAATCGGGCACAATTAATTTCAAGCTGATCCAAAATGTTTTCAGTAATCCGTTCCTGACTAGTATCTAGTATAACTAGAAATAAAGGTCCCACAACTCCTGCGCGACTAAACAGGTAAAGACCGACAAATCCTGTTCAACTATGATTTCGGTTTTTAAATCTGTGTCACAGTCCACGGTGATCCAGATCCTATGTCAATGTTGTGTCACTCCCCCCACCCCTCCCCACCCACCTCCCTTAACCTCATAAACTGGTGCACCTGTAATTTTTCTCTGCAGGCGTGTGGGAAAACACCCACATATAGTGGCAGGTAACACACCATTCATCTGTCAAACTGTTTGTTGTGTTTCTAATGCATGCTGTTTAATTTCCTAATACTACATTCTAGATCAGGGGTCGGCAAACTGCGGCTCGCGAGCCGCATGCGGCTCTTTTCAGGTCAAGGTGCGGCTCTCCAGTTTCTTGTACAAATATTAATAACAGCTCAGCCCCACAGTCGTGCTTTAGCCAGACCCGTGGCAACGATTCCATGCTTGCCACTGCCAAAGTGCTGACTTTTTCGAATATCGTTAAATGGGGAATGTTATTTTATTCAGAATGCATTCCTCTACCTGCCAGTATGCATTAATTTGACCTGAGTGACGTAATATTTTAGTTACTAGCTTCCTACGGTTGGGCCAGGTACTTGACTGTGGGGTACGAGTAGGGTGGAAGTTAAGCCTGGTGAGAACCGAAAGACAGAAGCGACCGATATAGTAATCAAACCGATACCAGGACCAGTTAGTCGGAGTTGACCGTGTTGAGGCCTGCCTGGCTATGGGAGACGCCTCCTGAGCCAGTGGTGTCCGTAAAGAAAGAAAAAAGTTCTCCATCATTTTTTCGTTAGTGCCCAAGACAGAGGGCGCATATGAAGTAGAGTTCTGTTTCAGTTACCTCGGCAAATGACATCATAGTGTGATTATCACTATGTCCAGCCCCTTTGATTTTATCTGTAGTGATTTAGGTACCCATCAGAGCTTTGTGGACTCAAGGACATCCTACATCTTCCAACCCGTGATTCAAACTCGTGTTAACAGTTATAAGCTCTACCGTCCGACCATGCCGTCTGCTCAGTGGAAGCCCATATTTTCTTAATCAAGGTACTTCAACGTACATACAACTGGTCAGCCTGGTCGAGACGGTAAAAGCTCAAATTTGTTAAACCGAAAAGTCACGAGTTCAAAACCTTGGCAATCGAGGCTCTATAGCCGGGGACAGCCACTTTTCTAGGAGAGACAGCTCCAAAATCAAACAACTGCTGCTTTGTAGTTTGTTCTTGGTTGGACAAAAGCTATGGAAGCAAATCCAAAAAGAAAAGAAGGCTGAAATCAGAGTCAATGGCCTATATGGCGCATAACAAGTTGACACGTATACTTAATTGTGTTGGAGGGGATCCCTTCCAAGACTAAAATTAAAAACGAAGAAGAAGAAAGAACATATATACCGTAAATTTTATTGTCTTAACACAGCGTGGGACGTGGGAGCTTCGTGTGGACATGAGGTACAGAGGCAATGATTACTACGCTAACTATGGAACCTTCCTTATCAGTGATGCGTTTTTCTTTCATGCTTTACACCAGGGGTCTCCAAACTTTTCAGTCCGAGGGCCGCATTAACTATCAAATTTCAGTTCGGGGACCAGTTTCTTCCAGACATGTCGTGATTTTTCTAGACGAATTTCCTCAGCCATCACAAAACAAACGTTTTTTCCTTGGACAAAAAGATCTCCGCGGGCCTTTGTTTAAACCTTTGTTTTCTTTATAAATTTTTTTTCGAAAATAGAACTATTCAAGGCTATGAGATGATGAATGCAGTTAAATGGGAAACTGTGCATTTAAAATCATAGGAATACTTTACAGACAATGTGTCGAGTTCTATGTTCAATCATAATTTTAAATTGTGCATTATCTATGTAAAAAAAAGCAGGTTTGTTTTAACGTATTAATATAATAACACATTAAAATACTGAATACAAGTGTATTAACTTGGTTAACTTTTTCGTTGGTTACACTTTTTCTATAATTTTCTAATTTAATTTGGTGTTGTCTCCCTTGACATACATATTGCTAGAAATAATAATAAAAACACAACTAATAAAGGCGTATAGGCGACCGATACAGTAATCAACCCGATACCCAAGACAGTTAGTCGGAGTTGACCGTGTTGAAGCCTGTCCGGCTATGGGAGAAGCCTCCTGAGCCAGTGGTGTCCGTAAAGAAAGAAAAAAGTTATTGGCTTGTAAAGTGGATTGGGATAGTCAAATATTTATATTATTTGATTACTACTTTTATCATAACAGAGCTAGCTAAAACACTTTTTGTGCGAAACATTTGTATGTTTTATATATGAATCATTATTAGTTCATATTTAACGCTATTTATTTTAAATCATAAACCAAATTCATTTACAAAATCCTTATCAAATATCAAAATATTGAAAAAAATAATGTTAGTGGCTCTTTAAAAACTTGTAAATTTTGTAAATTTTAACTTTTGGCTCTTCCTTCTTAAAAGGTTGCCGACCCCTGTTCTAGATTAAGCGTACGCTATCTTGAAATGATTGATAATTTGAATTAGCAATGTAAATTATTAATATAGGACTAAATGATTTAAAGTTTGATTTTTTTTAAACTACTTATTGCTATTTAGTGTATCAATTTATTTAAATGTATTTATAGTAAATGCCGTTCTCGCTAGTAAAGTCGGGAATCCTAGTGATCCAGATGAAGTAGAGTTCACATGTTTCTTTACCCCGTCATATAAATGGAAGGTGTGGTCAGCACTATGTCTAGCCGCCTTTTCTTTCCCTAACATGATTTAGGTACCCATCATAGCCTGCAGCCATCCTGATGGCACACCGCCTTGAAGTGGTGGGATGGCTTGTGTGTCCCAGCGACCCCCAGAGCTATGTCGGCTGGAGTTAAGTGCTCCTGGCAGGTCTAACCAAGTCGGACAGATCTGCGTGGGTAGGGGCCAGACCAAACGATGTGCCCTGGTCCTCCAGGTTGGGGGTTGTGCGATGGGCTAACTACTCGTCCACATAAAACAAAAGACAGTTACAGAAACCGAAGCCAAATCCGAAACAAATCCAGATAGAATGGCAGGCCCCGCTTTACATCTGCTTTGTTGACTGTGAGAAGGCCTTTGATAGTGTGGATAGGCAAACAATATGGAATCTGTTGAGACACTATGGTGTACCTACTAAGTTAGTGGAAATAATCCAGCAACTTTACAATGGATTTTCATGCCAAGTTAGCCATGCAGGGAAACTGTCTAAAGAGTTCCAGGTCAACACAGGTGTGAGACAAGGATGTCTGCTGTCGCCCCTCCTCTTCTTGGTGGTTCTCGACTGGGTGACACGCACAGCCTATGCCAGTTCTGGAAAAGGTATTCAGTGGACACTCACGGGGAAACTAGAAGATCTGGAGTTTGCAGATGATCTTGCCTTACTCTCGCACAGGCTACAGGACATGCAAGAAAAAGTTGATGCATTAGGAGCCATCTCGCAGCGCGTAGGTCTGAAGATCAACAAAGAAAAGTCGGAAATGATGAGAATTAACAATAAACAGGAGGCTCCAGTGTCAATAGACGGAAGACAGGTAAATGATGTGCAAGAGTTTGTCTACCTTGGCAGCAAGATCAGCAAAACGGGAGGCACAGAGGAGGACATACGCGCTAGAGTTAATAGAGCCCGCTGCGCTTTCACAGTCCTGCGACCCATATGGAAAAGTTCGGCCATCTCCATTACCACAAAAATTAGGATATTTAACTCTAATGTCAAGGCAGTTCTGCTGTATGGAGCAGAGGCATGGAGAGTCTCCAAGGCAAGCACGGCAAAGATACAGACCTTCATGAATAGATGCCTTAGACAGATACTGAAGCTGAGATGGCAGGACAAAGTGCCGAACTTGGAACTATGGAGGAAAGCTAGGCAGGAGCCTATAGGTGTGCAAATAAGAAGGAGGAAGTGGCGCTGGGTGCGTCACACACTGCGAAAGGCTCACACAAATGTTACACGCCAAGCGCTTGAGTGGAACCCCCAGGGAAAGCGGAAGAGAGGGCGCCCAAGACAGACCTGGAGGCGGAGTCTTCTTGAAGAACTGAAGCCAATAGGGATGTCTTGGGAGATGTCAAAATTAATAGCCGAGGATAGGAAGAAATGGAAGGAAATGGTGGAGGCCCTATGCTCCATAAGGAGCAAAGAGGACTAAGTGAAGTAAGTGAAGTGAATAGCCTGCAGAGTTTCTTCCAGGCATCTCTTCGGGGGGGGGGGGGGGCTGAGCTCCCCGAAGAAAGTCTGCCGCCCCCCCCCCCCCCGAAATTAAATTTATGTAGAAAAAATATATTTTAACACTGTCCGCCCCCCCCCCCCGAATAAATTCTACCGCCCCCCCCCCCCTACGAAAATTTAAAGTGCCCCCCCTCCTCCTCCCAGGAGAAAAAAGTCTGGAAGAAACACTGATAGCCTGGTGGACTCAGTGAAGATCGCCTGACTCGGACCCGGATTTGAACTCGTAACTTTCGGGTTATCAGCTTAGCGCTCTACCGCTTAGGCCACGATCACGTAAAAGAAGGTAAAAGTTGTGGCAGTATGTTATTTGTTGTTGTTTCGCTTTTTTTTCAGTTTTGTAGATAATGTTAAGCTAACAGCCGCACCTTTAAAACATAAAGCTACTGAATAACTGTACCTTGATAACATAAAGCTAGTTAAACTGATTTATCTTTATAAGATTAACAGCTGTATCTTCAGGGGTCACCCATAAATGACGTCACGCTTTTTGACGATTTTTACCTCCCCTTCCCGTCCGTTACACATTGTTACAAAAAGCCAGAACTCCCCTAAAATGACGTCACAACTCAGCCTACAACCCCCTCAAAATTGCACTTGATTATTTTTTAAAACATCAATATTTTTCCAAAATCTTGTCTGAACTCTGTCGTCAATTACAATTTAGAAAAGTTTTCTAAAACGCGAAATAACGGGTAAAACTCATTTTCTCTCATTGGTTTTTATTCATGCAATAGTGAGACGTTACACCTTGTGAACCCCTCCCCCTTTCCCCCTCATCACACACCGTTCCAAAATTACGTACCCCTTCCCCTCACCCCTACGA